AAACCATTCTATGATTCTACAATTCTATGTCCATCCATGTGCTTTTCCTGGCATATGGCTCTCCTCGGGAGGATTGCTGTGCTGCCGGGGACAGAGAGAGGTACAAAGACCAGGAGAGCATCAGTGACTCCATCCTGCAGGTTGCTGCAATGATATTAAATGTAGGACCAGGATGATCTGGGTGCAGGATTGTATTAGGGTTGCAGGATCTCCTATGGGGAGAACGCCAAGGGAGCCCATATCTCCACCACTCTTGGGTATTCGCTGCACTCGGAGGGTGTGTTGCAGTCTCTGAATGTAATCCTGGATGTTGGTCCTTCTTCTTCTGGAAGATCCCTGTTAGAAGTAGGGATGCATGCAACATCTCCCATGTTGCATGCATCCTCCCCAAGTTCTTCCCTATCAGGGATGCTCAGCTTTCCAACCCGCCGCTTGTTTGCCCTGGTTTAAAAAGAAAACAGCAGTAGCAGCAACCCCAAAACCCTTCCCAGGCCAAACAAAAGCCCCTTTGTTTGCTCCCGGCATTGGATTCAAGCGGAAATCTTGTTAGGGAAGGAGCGATAATGGCTTTTCTGTACTAATTATAGCTCTTGAAGCTGTTTATTCAGTATGAACCCATGAAAATGTGGGTGCAACCTCCCTGCCCCGCTCCCCAGGTTTTTGCAACTTTCATTGCCTCTTTTCCTCCCTGGATTAATGAGTGATGTGCTAACAAGTTATCAGTGGTTTCTGGAGATAACGAGGCGGGGGGGCTGTTGTGCAAACCTGGGTTTGGCGAGGGCTTGATCCTGCCCTACCCACTTCCCATTTCTCACTCTGCCGAACCTTTCTCATCTCTTTAAACCAGTCCCTTGGGAGGCCAAGGGTCTGGGGATGTGGTAATGTAGCTCAGTGCCAGGTTGGGGACATCCCTGAGGGGTAGATGGGTATCAGGGAAAGCATTTGTGGAGCCGATGTGAGCTGGAGATTCCACCACGGAGATTCCCCATCTCTGTATACAGGAGCCAGACGATGGGTCCGGCTTTGGGGCTCTTTGCAGGGCTGTAGTTTTCTGCATGCTACAGGGCTCTGCTGCTTATACAGACCATTTCTTTACTTCTTGGCAGCAGAAAATCAATATAGCTGCTAAATCCCCCAAAAGATGGTCCTTCCTGGCTGTCATCATGCAGCGCTTCTTCCTCGGTGCTGCACAACTGCCCGGTTTTAAAGTTAAAACACAAACCACTCACCAACTGGGTGTTCCCAGAGTCATCATCATCATCTTCAGCATTTTACAATATCGAACGGGCTCTGCGATAAGAGCTATTATTAGACAACTGTTTTTAACAGAAGTAGAAAATTTTAATATCAGGCGCAGGGCTGCACCCCAAGCAAGTCCTTATCAGCACCGAAGACCAGATTAGCACATAGGAGTGGGTGAATCCGTGACCTGTGCTCGCATCACGCCCAGTTCCCAAGGGCTGGTAATTAATGCAGCTTTGTTACTGGAGCCTATTTTGTTGTTATTGTACTTGTTATGAAGAGAAAAGCAGAAGCTGGAGGTATAAGGGTAATGGTTTCAGGTTATTTTCTGTGCACCCCTCCTCTCACGCTGCCGTTCCCAACATCACATTGGGAAGAGCATCCCTTTAACAGGAGCAGCACAAGCCCAGGGCGAAGAGCTGCTTCGTTTTAGTCCCCAACACACAGGGTCTCTCCAAGGCTTTTGAATCAACCACAAATAGGTTGCTGTCTTCTTCCAGCGAGTCCATCAGTGTCCCCATGATCCCTTTGGGCCTGAAGGAGACGAAGGAGCTGGATTTGCTGGCACCACTGAAGGTGAGCATCAGGGTTTTGCATGCTCAATGCGATGTAAGACGATGGAGGGGAGCGACCGTGCACTTGGGGACGGTTGGGTGCTTTAGAGGAGATGCTGCAGCGGCTGCAAAATGTTTTCTATTTTGGAACAGTTGCAAAAAAAAAGGTTTAGGGGGAGGAACTGGACTTAAAACATGGGAAAGTGGGAGATGAGGGTCTGGAGATGCTGGAGAGCAAGAGCCAGGCTGGGGAGGAGATGGCTTTCCCTGGCACAGGTTTCCTTGCAGGGAGACCTTGCAAATTGCCCAAAGTCATCCTTTAAATCTTGAATATCTATTTCCAAGGGTGACTCAGGGTTTTCTTTTCTCTTTTTTCCCCATCCAGGATTTCATCAGTGAACACTATGGAGAGGAGGGCATCTTGTTTGAAAAGGAAATCAAAGAGTTCATGGAGCTACGGCAGGTCGGTGTGGTGTCCCTTGAGTTGCAAAGTCTTGCTTTGGCTTGTCCAGAAATGCTCACTGGAGGTGCCACATTTTGCTCTGGGATCCCCTCATCCTCTCTCCAAACTGCACACTTATCCTTGTGTCTCAGGGTGCGGGATTCGGCTTCGGTTCATACGTTACAAAATATTACAGACCATTCAGTAATTGTTTTCCTTCCCCATCCTTTAACGCCCTGCTAACCTAGAACAGAACAGCAATAAAAGTTATAATGCAATCCATTACTGGTTTATGAGTATTAGTTCACCCCCGCCAAGGCTACACGACTGCTCTTTCTCCAGCTCGTGCTTGGAGAAGAGGAAATATAAAGCAATCTGGTAAAGGTGAATTCTCTCCTCTCCTATGAAACAGCTCTCATAAGTAACTTCAAGTTTTGCCTTGCTGTGAAGCTTTGATCTGGGAGAGCGGAAAGAAAGAGGCTTGCTCAAGCCCTTTTGAAGGGCCTGATCCTGCTCTTCAGGCTGTGGGAGAGGAGCCCTGCAAAGCTAGAAGCTGGGAAAAGCCCCGTGGTTAAAACTAGACATTAGGAGAGCTCTGACCCTCCTCCCTGTGTCAGGTCAAAAGCTCAAGGGCTTTTTTATTAAGATCAAAAAATCCTATTTTTTCCCTAGCGTTTATTTCAGCAGACTTTGCATGAGTTTCCTTCTTAAAAAAAATAATAATCCCAACTTGGTTTAGGCAAGCGTTGCCATCAGCACGGCTCCCAGGCTGGAGGTGCCCAGGATTTGGGTGCCCCAGCACCGAATAGGTGCCTCCTGACCTTTCCTGTGGCTGAACCTGTGCCGGGGGGCTGCCTCCCGCTGCTGCGCAGCATCTCATCTGCTATTGATCTAACCCTATTGATCATATTGATCTGATCCTATTGATCTCAGGTGGAGTTTCTCCCCCCCTGGGCTGGCCAGCATATGCAGCTCCATAAATCCGTCATTTCCCCTTCTGTTTTCCCCCTTTCTTCCCACCCACGTGTCTCCTCTCCCGTCCCCACAGGCGATGCGTACCCCAAGCCGCAATGAAGCCGGGCTCGAGCTCTTGATGGAGTATTACAACCAGCTCTACTTCTTCGACAGCCGTTTCTTCCCTCCAACCACAAGCCTGGGTGTCTTCTTCCACTGGTTGGT